CAAAGAATGCTTTGAAATGTTTGTAGTATCAAGTGGTCGTATCATCGTCATAACTTTAATATCTTTTTTTTTTCAGAGGAATTTGATAATTATATGCAACAAGATGCACATGAATTTTTGAACTTCCTTATAAATCACATAAATGAAATTATTTTGGGTGAGTATTTGTTTATCGTTTTTGGATAATACTCATAGCACGATATTTACGTCACGTCGTGATTTCATACATCAGCGGAAAGAACTCAGAGCAAGCCGACTGGAGGAAAGTGTGGGGCAGGAGATGCTGCAGGTTCGCCACCAGAGCCCACATGGGTACACGAAATATTCCAAGGGATACTGACGTCGGAAACACGCTGCCTTAATTGTGAGACTGTCTCTAGCAAAGACGAGGACTTCTTCGATCTGCAAGTTGACGTAGATCAAAATACGTCGATCACACACTGCCTCAGATGTTTCTCCAATACAGAGACCCTGTGTAGTGACAACAAATTTAAATGCGATCACTGCAGCAGTTACCAGGAAGCTCAGGTATTAATGAAACGATATTTGATTTACCGTTTATCTTTTAGATAAATCACATAAATCGATTATTGAAATTATTGAAATATGGTCATTTTTAATTACAGAAACGAATGAGAGTGAAAAAACTACCTATGATATTAGCGTTGCATCTAAAAAGATTTAAATATGTGGAACAATACAATCGTCACATAAAAGTATCTCACAGAGTAGTTTTTCCATTGGAGCTCAGACTTTTCAATACTGTTAGTATTCATAGATATTGTTTATGAAAACATAATAAACCTCAAATCATCATATATTTCTTCCTAAATAATTTTAATTATTTCAATGATAATATTTTTAAAACTTTCAATAAATTATTTCACTGCTTAAATATAATATATAATTATGTAATTTGATTGTAGAGTGATGATGCTGTAAATCCAGATCGTTTATATGATCTGGTGGCAGTTGTGATACATTGTGGAAGTGGGCCTAATCGAGGGCATTACATTTCTATAGTTAAAAGTCATGGATTCTGGTTGCTCTTCGACGATGATATGGTTGACGTAAGTGTTTCTGCTTTAATACCTTGCCCCATATAAGTATTTAGAAAGAATATTAATAATCTTATATATCTTTTTATGTCCTTAGAAAATTGATGCGTCAACTATAGAAGATTTTTATGGACTCACATCAGATATTCAGAAGAGTTCTGAAACTGGTTATATCCTGTTCTACCAATCGCGAGATTGTAGTTAAAGTTTAATATGAATAGCAATTGAAAATAAGCACTCCTATACGCTAATTTCGTATTTTAACAAAGTGCGCGGTATATGTGAATTTTTGAATGTTCTAATGGTTTGTCAGATTATTTATGAGAATGATGGATATACGATGTTTGATAATGTTTTGGCTCGTAGAATATAAAAAGAGAAGCGAAAAATAGTTATATAATTTATCTAAATTTTTATATAGAATTTTTGGTTTGTATATAACCAGCAGTTGGAGAAAATTGAGAAGTATTAGGTGATGCTTTATATTTATTTATGTTTAAAAGCTAGTCCGCCTTTTGAAGAGAATGAATAATTTACTTTATTACAATAACTTAAACGTGTCCATTGATATAAAGAGAAACGTTAGCACGTTCAGATTCTATACAAATGTAAAGATATGACTGAGAATAAAAATATTGTTATGAGACTATGCATTTCGCTTATTTATCGTATTAGGAGTAGCAACATAAATTTGTAACACGAAATCAAAATTGGCTTCTCTAAACAAAGTATTACCACTTTGTTCACAATAATGTTCTTAGAAAAATAATCTTATTCAATTATTCTGATTCTTAAACTGTGATATATTATGTAAGATAAATGTACCAGTTAGTGGACAGTTAATGAATCAATTGTTGAACAAAGTGATAAAACATTTCAAATATTAAGCTTTTAATGATATGTAATTCTAAATAAATTCATTATTAGATTTTTATAAACAAATGTATTTAGAGTTGCATATATCATTAAAAATTTAATATTTAAAAATTTTTATCACTTTGTTGAATTGGATCATATCTACTAATTGTCTCCATTAATTAGTATCTTAATGTTAGGTTCAGTGCTTGGGGAAAAAGCTAACGATAATCGTCGATTTCAATACATTATGTAATATTATGATTAGTACAATTTAATCATAAAATTAAAATCTAATTGAATAAACTTTAATTCATTTTAATTTAATAATTACATTTATATGTTTATTTAATTTAATGTTATTTAATGTGATGAATTTTTATATTAAAAATAACGCAAATCTTTACTTTGAAAATTTTAGTTTATTTAATATTTTAAGCAATAAATTCATATGGAACAGGTGCAAGCAAGATAGGAGCTTCACGTCCTGACACAATGTGAGCTTTAGAAGGTTCAGCAGGCTGCCTTTTGAGTTGGACGCGAACGTTCGTCTTCTTTGCCTCCTTTCTGAGCCTCTCGTTCTCCTTAACGCGCTTAAGGAAATCATCTCTACACTTGGAATGACTCAAGTGCTCGATGCGTACATTAATCCTCTTAGCGATGATACGTCCACGTACTCTCTTGTTCACAATCACTCCCAGGGCATGTGCTGTCACGTTGAACACACGGCCAGTCTTGCCATGATAGACTTTGTACGGCATACCTTTTTGTACGGCACCATTTCCCTTGATATCCACGATATCGCCGACTTTATATGTCTTCATGTATGTAGACAAGGGAATAGTTCCATGTTTACGAAACTTGCGGGAGAACAAGTCCCTCGTACCACGTCTATAACCCTTTGAATTGGTCATGGTAATGTGTTAAACTGCAAAAAAAAAACAAATATGCAATCGCTGAAACAAAATCACAATATACATGAAGGACTTAAGACTTCTTTAAAAAACCACACAATATAAATATAAAATTAAATAAAATTAAATAAATTATAATATTATTGTAAATTTAGGATGAAACAGAATATTTTTACTCAATTTAAATATTCTCATACGTCGTTTGCAGATCTTATCCTATATAAGGGTGGTATCGTCTTCATTTGAAGGCAGAAGCCATAGAGGAATTTAACCTAATTCGAATGTTTCTAAAATATTAAATTCCTACAATTTTTTGTACAGATCTAATGACAAATAACATAAAATTTCATGACTTGTGATAATTTATGCAATGAAAAATATGATTTGTCGATAACAAACAATATTATCAGATAAATTTCTACGTGCGATGTGTAATGTGCAAAATGCACGTGGCTTAACGCGAGTAGAATCAACAAAGTCTAGAGTTTTATATTTTCTAACCAAAATAGAAGCGGTCATATAACAGCAAACAAATGTAGATATTTATTTTCAATACAAAAAAAGAAGAATATTCTAATTCGGCCTGAATTTTAAAGAATAATTTGAAAATGTTAACAAACGTACACAGCCAACTCACGACTACTGCCGTTGCCACAGAAGAAAAGATATTCTAGAGAGGCGATACGGTGCACACAATTTATGCGGAATCAACATTTTGGAATTCGCGTGACGTCACATGATGCATATCATTAAGCTGGAAACACATGGGTGAGTTCAAGACGGCAAAATGGCTAGGCATGCTAAGGACCATTCCACACAACTTGCATAACTGCATAAAGAAAATCATCCAATCACATTTTATCTTTATGACAGAAATATAATTGGATAATTTTCTTTATGCATATGGTTATGTAAGTTGTGCGGAATGGGCCTAAAAGTTCGACAACGGAAATCTGAGGGACAACAGAAATCGGAGTGCTCTTTTTCTCTTACAGTGCACGTGACATATGCTATAAGAGCACTTCGCTTCAGATTTGCATTACCGAACGCAGCTAGAGCTAGTCACACACATTTTCCGTAAAGCCCAATGTCCATAATACTAGAACTCGATTCAAGTTTTCGAAAAATGTGTAGCCAATCAACTTGCCGGTTTTCCGTAAAAACTGTAAATTAATTAGCTACACATTTCTCGATCCGAGAACTCGGACAGAGTTCTAACATCGTGGACATTAGGTTTAATAGTAAAATTTTCGACCAATCGCGTTGCTCGATTGTTACGGTTATGGATAGTTACGGATCGAGCAACGCGATTGATCGAAAATTTATATTATGCTCGTATCACACTAGCGATTGGAGATTGCATCTGGGTTAATATGATTTTTATCCAACCTTCCAATATTAGAAAATATTTTCAATTCTGTTGAATAAAAGTTTACCTAGTTTAACAAGAGGTTTCTCAATATTAACCTATGTGACTCATGATGACCAAAAATAAAGCGCAGTTCTAAGAGGAATATCTATCTGTTTTTTTGCAAGAGGATTGAATCCAATCTCACAGATGTACCTTCTCTGAGGAGGCAGAGTCAATAGGACCAGCCATGTTTTCTGAGGCTATTTCAATACATTCTCACTAGAATTATCCATCAGAGCACCACTCCCAAATCAAGACTGAAAGGGAAACAGAAAGTACAGTAAGATCGCATTTATCAGCTGGACTTGTAGCAACTTCAAATCAGAAATATTTCTGAATTTTTTCGCTGTATTAGAAGAACTATGAAGGCTAGAACCTGAATCAAGAGAAAGTTCTCTTACTCTAAGAATTTTTCTCTTTAGGAAGATTGACCTTGAGTCCTATATCAAAGCAAAAATCATCTTAATTATACATAAGAAACACAAAAAAGAGAACTTCCCTTAATAATAAATATAAAGAAAAGATATTAGTAAATAAATTTAATAACAAGAATATGTACAGCTAACTATGACAACAAAATTAGTAAATAGAACATTTAAGACGACCAAAATACTTTGGTGATTAAATTAGTATATAAATTGATATAGAATACTTATATGATAAGAAAATTAAGAAGGAATCATGAATTATTCAACGCTGAGTAAACATTCATCTATAAAATTATTCGTAATACATAATATTAACATCTGAGAATTGCTTAGTGAAGAGTTCAAACCGAAAAGGAAATCTTTTAAATGAAAGTTTTTTTTCTTTATATAATAATAAACAAACTGAAATTTTAAAAAATAATGAGAATATAAGAATTAAGCCCTCATCCGTCTTAATCTATTCTTCTATTAATATAAATCAAGCTCGTCCAATTTGAGATTTTTTAGAATCAAAATACAAAACCATCGACGCAAAAAATTCAATGTAAGATTTCAGGTACTGTAAAGTTGATAAGCGTGATCATTCAGACACATATCGACATTTTACAGTCTCCAAAATCTTATATATTGATTTTTTTTTGCATCGATGGCTTTGCCTCTGAAACTTAAATTGGACAGTCTGTAGATCTTTAATTTCAGTAGACGATTCAAAACAATCTCAGAGAGAGAATTTAGCACGTGGATCCACCCGAGTTTAAGATCCGATCGGCATATAACAAACCTCGGCAGAAAGAGAAGCCAGCCGTTCAAGCTTGGCTAAGACTTTGATGCTATCTCAGTGGAATAAGAAATTCTTAAAGTTTGTATGCGTATAGAGCAATGAATAGCAACGAAGCAAGCCAGAGAAAAATTTCGCACAAATCCGATCCAGTCAATCCCGATCGACAGTGGAATCGGTTAAACCTACAGCTTAACGCCCGATCCGAAAGGCGTTGGTGATCAAAGGTCTCATTAGATGGAGCAATTTGCTCCTCAAATAAAAATTGTGTTTAATGGTGCATAATAATAAAATTAATAAATATTGCATAAGTTAAATGTCCTATATACAATGAGTCAATTTAGTACAATCGGATTTAGACAACTCTTTATCCAGTTATGTCGCGATTTCTTTCATATCCATAATTTCTTCTTTGTTCGCGTCTTGACGGGCTGCTAGGCGTAAGTAATACGTGCAACACTCTGACCCAAGAGCGACAGTATCATGAATACAAGAAAAAAAATTTTAATAACAGTTTGACAAAAAAAAACAATCATTTGTAAAATCAAACCGAGAAGTGTGTCTAAAGCCGACCGTTAAATGAGTATATAACTTAATTATGTAACGCTTACAGACAATATAAGTATGAAAACATATAAAAATATGTTAAATCGATGCATTAATTAACAGTAATTGTAGAGCCTAATTGTCGCATTAGTTTGTAGCATTCCTGAAGACGTTTCCTGTCCCCTATTCGCTCGAGCGTCTTGGCAGCCTCTGCAAGCATTCCAGCCCGTTCACCTGGCGAGGCTAACAGCAACGTCGGCAGATGCCTGCACGCCAGACATAACGCGACCGCATGTTCCCTCTCACTGTTATTCTGCTCCTGCGATCGGTCCTTTCCACATATAATTGAAGAACGCGAGTTTCTGTGATGCAGACTTCGATCCAGTAAGATCTGAGTCTTAACTGGTGTTGCCCCGGCCATGATACGTGCTGTAGCCTCGTATAGGAATACTCGTGCTAATACAGACTAAAAAAAAATAATAAACAATATTATAAAGAAATTACATGCATACAATCAAATAAGTCTGGTTTTTTTCAAACAAACTCCTTCACGATTAACTTTTTTTTTTTCTATACGTTGAAGAACAAAAGAGAAAAGATGAATGGAAAAAGTTCAGCTACAAAGAACAGGTTATTTTACTACGTCCACTTGAATCTTATTAGAATTAAAATAGAAATTATGGACTCAAGCTTACCGGGATATGCTGACACAACTGTCTCAAGCACGCCAAATCACGCTGGAATCCAGCAAGAGACACATTTGCAATCGATCTTTCTGGTTCTGCATCCATTTCTTGCCAAAGAATTGTGCGTATCTCGAGAAGCCAATCGCAAACTAATAATTGAGTAAGCTGAAAGATAAGCAAGATTAATTAGTAGGAAACAAAAAAAATTGCGCACACGACTCACATAAAGTAGATACAAAACTATTACATATACATATAAATGGTGCTGCGACCTGCCACAGGAGTTGCACTGCAGGAGTATTGCATAGTTATATTTCATGCAATGCAACTACAATGCACACTTGTAACAGGTAAACGATAGC